AGCTTCACCTCTTGTGCTACCATTTTGGTATTACTGATTTAACCAAGATTTAATAATCATGTGTTCAGGAGGGGCTACTTCTTACTGCAGCTCAGACTAAAATATAATTAATTTCAGTTCTCATATATCCATCCAAACCACCTCTTTCCTTTAATATTCAAATCTCTAGCTACCTTTCCCCCCTAATTTTGACTCTTCTCTTTTCTTTGGTTTGTCTTTCCTCTCCCTGTTTCCTTTCCTATCATTTTCTGTCCTGCTCTCTCCTAGTTTCTTCACCTTTCCTCCATTTCTTTTCTTCTCTCAATTAGTTCTGTCCTCTCCTCCTTTTCTTGTTTCTTTTCCCTTTCATTTCCTTCTTTTGCTTTTCACTCCTTCTTCCTTTCCTTTATATCTTTGAATTTGATGTACTACTTTATTTCTTTTCCGTCTCTACTCTTTTTTTACTCATTAATTGATATAATCTTTTTCTCTCCTCTGCTCCTCTGTTATTCCTGTTTGATTTTAGTTTTCTCTCTTCCTTTCTTCCATGGTTTAATATCCCCACCTGCCCTCCTTTTATTTTCTCTCCTCTCCCTAATTCGCTCCTACTTCTCTTTTTCATGTTCATCTTTCTTCTGTGCTCTCAAATTTTTTTCTTCTCCCACCTGCCTTCTCCTGCTTTCCTTTTCCTTTTTTCTTTCCCTTTCCTTTCCTATCTCTTTGGTCCAAATGAATGGGAAATCAATAGTGTCCGTGTTGACATCCAGAAGCAGTCACACACTCAAGTGATGGATGACGACAACCACTCTGTGTGTGTGTGTGTGTGTGTGTGTCTATTCCTGATGTTAAGCAGACATTGAGTCCTTGACCGTGACCCTCCTGCCTTTCCGTCTCCTTTCCCTGCGTCCTGGGTGGAGAGGTCAGAGGTCAGGGGTCAAGCCGAGACTGTTCCCCCTGGGAGTCTGGGGCTCTGGGGTGGGTTCTATGGTGATTGTAACCTTTGACCCATCCCACAGGCATGTCAGATGGGTAGAGGAATGTGGGGATTAATGTAGGGACATTGAGCAAAGAGGAGGTGAATACAGGGCCAATTCATCTGTCTGTCTTTTTGTCTGTTCACATGAGTTACACCTCTACTCTTTCCTGCACATGGAAACTGAACCACAGAGCGCACATTCATTTAGAACAATTTAGGGTTCAGTATCTTACTCAATGACAGGCCAACCTTTCGATTAGTGGACAACCTGCTGTACCTCTGAACCACAGCCGCCCATATTGGAAGGTTTCCAGGTTTTTTGTACTCATTGTCTCAATCGACCTGCCTTATGTATTATGCAGTTAATCTTATAATTGCGTTGCATTCTGTATACAGCTCCTGCTCTTTAATTCTTAGGAACTACACTGATAATGTCTTTACAGGCATCACAGAGTCCTTCTCTGGTTGCTACATGGACTACTTATTTTTTTATATGTGCAGGCCAACTGTGAAATATGGTCACAATCTTTCATTCTGCTGCTGAGTATTTTCTCAGGACATTATGATGTCACAGTGAAGTTGACCTTTGACCTTTTGGATTAAAATTGTCATCACTTCATGGTTCTTCTTGGTTGTATCTCATTAAACATCAGTGTGATTTTTTTCATTATTACTGCATCAGTGTGTCTGACCAACTGTGAAATATGGTCATCAATTTTTAAGTTCAGTCAGGACCACTTTTTTCAAAAGAACTTTTATTTCCAAAGCAGAAATTTAAATTTGGCGGTATGGCTCTATTCTGGGACCTCCTTTCCCTTCCACGTGCCTACGTGGAAAACCGTAAGGCAGGGAGAGCACACCTCCCTGACCTTCCATGTGCATACATGGAAAAGTTTAAGACAAGGAGAGCGGCAGCAGAGACCCCCCAGGGTACAGAACAGAGCAAGCATCAATGGCAATCAGAAAATTACATTGATTAATTAGATACAACATAAAAGGAGGAGCTGGGGTGGAGGTGGGTTGCAAAATGGCTTGTAGAGAAAGCAGCAAAGATAGGCAGGCTAAAGCAGCTTAAATAAGGCACCATGAATGATATTTGCCAATTGGATGCTTGAGGGAATCAGCTGAGCCTGTCCAACCCTGACTGGTAATGAGTTTCCATATAAGGAAGCTTAGAGGACAAATCAGCTGAGCCATCAGCTGATGTGTGTTTACGACTAGCTGTGATCATATGATATAGCTGGAATTGAGAACCGAGCCCGACTTCGTGGCCTGCCTGAACTAATGCTATGCTCAATTAGTCCAAAAGATGTCCCAATTGACCGAAAGCCAATTTGTTTGACATCCCTTTGCACATTGTTCCTAAATAAACACTCTCCCTGGAGTTTTCTGCCCTTACTACAGTGCATTTGACAGGCATAGTTTAGGTGACCTTCATTGTTGTCATAACAATGGCCAGGTGACCTTTCGTCGTTATAGTCAGATGACTTTAATCATCATGGTTACGATAAACATGGTTAACATTGTGAAACAGTCCTGCTTAAATTTCAGCACCAAAAATACATAGTTAGGTTTAGGAAAAGGTCATGGTTTGGGTACATCAGTTAAGGTACGTAGTTAAATATGTTATGTAAGTTGTACCAGGCTGGTATTTTCCGTGCAATGGCCAATGGAATGCAATTGGACTACTAGGGTTTCAGAATAATGGGCCGTCCAAACAAGGGCATGGCAGCACAAATGTAATGCTACGTATCTTACACACTGTGGGTCTGTAGGTTTTCAGTAATCGCTCTTGGAGTGCTTTTATAGATAGCAGCCCTTCAGCAAAACACAGACTTTGTTGGCTCATGACAGCAGTCACTAATCTAAACTGTTTCACTGCAGGAAGTTCTACGGGTTAGTCATCTCCTTTAGATGTCTCTGGGACAGCAACCTGCTCCTCCTCAAAGCAGCGCCTGAAGAAGGTGAGCACTGAGTATAGCATGTAGTGCTGGCTCTTGGCCAGGGCAATGTTGTGTCCTTCATCTGGGAAAATCTAGGCAGCAGGAAATAGAAAACAGTGCCATTAATTAATGTTTCAAAAGTGTAGTCTTAACACAAGCAGCTATTTAAGAACTTTAGGTAAACAACAAATTTACAAAACCTAATTTGAATCAGTAACTATCAACAACTAGAAAACAGGATCACAAATCTGACCAGATATTCTCTGTGCTTTTCAATATGCACAAATTTGGGATTGAACTGACAAAGTATTGTTGTTACCGAGCCCTATTCAGGATGCATTCACCTAGTTACTCTTTAAACCATAAGACTAAGAAGGTTACTTGTTTGACCTTTAAATCAAGGTATCCTCTTGTTACTTGTCACTTAGAGAAGAAATGCCATTAGTCACCTGGAGAGTGTAATTAACATTTGACGCAGACAGCAGTTTGACCAACTCAGCAGAATGCTGGAAATGAACAGTGGCTGAAAAAGAGACACAGATAATTACAATTAAAAGTCATCACAGCCTGACAGCACAACTCACAACATACTCAGTCCATTGCACTCCCACAGTTGGGTTAATGAAAATTAATTGTTGTGCCAAACGGGTGCCCAGAAAATCATATTTTGTATAGACCTGTGATATAGTTACACCAGCCAGCCGAGACACCTTGACCAGGTGGAGTCAATAAGGTGATTGCCACGTTCAACCAACCAGTGCACAGAAAGACTATTACTGTAAACAGTTTTCTGCATGTAATATCCATTACTGCACATTCTTATGAATGATACAAATAGATGAATAGCAAAAAATAGCAAATAAAAAAACACATCCTGCAAAAGGCAAATATCTAATACAGTACCAAAATAATTAATAATTTAAAAAAGTGTGTGACAGACTAGCATGTAATGTCACAAACTAACTCCTCAGATCAGACTTAGACCAAGACTGGTGTTTCTAATGGTCAGCCAATTAGGTTAGATGTCCTTTACTGTCCTCAAAGGGAACAGGTCAGTACCATACTAACAGACAAACAATAATAAATACATTAAAAATCACAAACAGAAGGCAATAAACCTTACCAATCCATTTTTTTGTCTGTACCTGTACAGGCCTGTACTCACCATCTGCTGTGCCGTGGATGATAAGAAAGTCCAGAGGACTCGGTGCTGTGATGTTACTGAGCAGACTGGAGATCTGCTGGAGACAGTCAACAGTTGTAACATCATCTAAACAACATCTTATTGAAAGTAAATCAACAATAAGTAATGTTGATTCCACAGACAATTCAGGAATTTGTGTTCTTCCATTTCTATGATTGAACAAATATCTTTTCAGGTTATTAAAAATCACATCTTTGAATAGGATCAGGTCCCACAGGAGAATATTCATACAGTAGCTGCTATAGAGTGTGGCCTGACACAATTACTCTAATAAAAGTTAGTAATGTAGTACATAACAAAACAGGGATCTAAACATATCACTAACATGTTATTTTAAGAATAACTCTAAATTATTGTGTTAAATTTGACAGCATGCCACCCATCTAGATCCGCCCCCTGCAATTCCAATGAGCCTCAATCACCATTCTTGAGGAGAAGTGAGTCAAAGGTGCGAACATTTGTAATCTTGTGAAAATTCTAAATCTTTTGTTTTTCTGAGGGAGCTTTTCCCGGCAGACAATTTGAGTTGTCATACCAGAAAAAGCACACGTGTAATTAATCACATCAACAATGCCTCAGCCACATTTAAATGTCACTGTAAGCCATGCCAGTGAGCCAGCATGTGCACGACGTGGGCCCTGAAGCTGGCAGATCTAAATGGAATGCAGCCAACATTAATGTTATTAGTTACACCTGTGCTTGTCCTGCCATGACGTGGAAATCTGAAAAGGGCCTGTTGGGGACTAGAACACCAGGTTCCAAATTATTCTGAATCTGAAATTACCAGAGAGTTTATTCATTCTGTGCACCGAGAGGAAAATGCACCTGCTGTGTCCCATCAATTACAATATGCTGTAATACAATAGAGTTAGATTGATGCAGTCATATGAATAGCTTTAACAAATTAATGCTGTTTCTTTCTTTTTTTGAAGTTATTTTTTTTGGCTTTATTTTATAGAGACAGCTGTAGAGAGACAGGAAAGGTGGGTGGAGAGAGAGAGGGGATGACATGCAGCAAAGGGCCGCAGGTTGGATTCGAACCCGGGCTGCTGCAGCAACTCAGTATATGGGTTGCCAGCTCTACCGACTGAGCTATCCGGGCGCCCCTTTGTTATTAGTTTTATTTTATCATACAACAGTAAGCAACTACATGTAACCAATTTTATATATTTAGATCACTGTGTTGCAAAATAAAACTACTAGGGGAATGACATATTTTGACTTTCAATGTCTTCCATTGTCTGGAGAGGCCATTCAAGGCATATTTGACATGCCCCACTGTGCTTGGCACCGCAGTTTAACAGGTATGAGACGTGCGTGGCTGAGAGGGCAACGATCACCACTCTCTCCAATTTTGGATTCCACTTCATCCGGCCTTTGCACATGCTGCCAATTACCCTCATATGAATGAAAATAACAGGTGTTCTTGGAAACTTCCTCTCAAGAGTTACTGCTTTGTTGCAAATAAAATGGCATTCATTTACATGTTGAATGCCACAATAAACAGTTTTACACGAGTTGAGTGTGCATTCCAGCTGCGGCCAGCATTGTTTATAACACTGTGTCAGGCAAGAGCACTTTCAGTTCAAACAGAGAGAGAAATGAGCACGTATTCTAGCTGTTTACTCTACACAAACAGTTAATGCAGTTGTGAAAAGAACTGCATGTTCAAAGTCGTACTTGGTATTTGTGAACTTCTTTTGCTGGGAAGCCAAAGTATTTCTCAGCGTAGGCCGACCCTTTATAAGGAAGAAAAAAGGAAACTGTTAATGAGAAGATATTGTGAGTAGGGACAGCAGTGCTGTTTTAATTAACTCACTATTAATTCATGATAACACTACCAATGCCTTTCAATATAACTTTTTCACTTAACATTGGACATTCTGACAAATAGGAAATGCCACCAATGATTAGTGTTGCTCCACTCTATTAGCCATCTCGAGTTTGTTTGACATTCAAATATAAGTGGATCAGTTGTTTAGCTCTGTTTTGTTAAATCAAATTGCATGACGATGACTTTTCTAAGACGTATAGCTTTAATCTGATAATAAGTACATGTCAGCATTGATCGCCAGATACTGAATAATTGGGTTTACTGGCTGTTTGAATGTCCTTGTCACATTTGGGATGAGCCACAACTTCATTTATTGTAATTAATGTATGATTCTTGTCCATCTTACCATAGAGTCTCCAGTTTGTTATAGGAGCTACAGCGATGCCACACCGGAACATAGAGCTGTGAGAGAGGAGCAGGAGAGAGGAAAGGAATCCTCCATATGCCTGGAAAAAAACATGGCTACTTTACAACAATGTTACAGCATAGTATTTATGTATTTATTTATTAGATACAGAGCCTATGTTACCTTTCCATAAACTCCAACTCTATTGCCATCAATATAGGGTAGCCTGACCAGGTGCCTGAAAATAACAAGAGTAAAATAACAATAATGAAGTGATCCCTTCTCAATAAGACTACAAACTGTAAAAGATTCTAGTACACAGTAAAATATTATCCTTATTTTGGCTAATTCAAAGCTTAAGACACATGAAGTGGATAAGGTACAAAGTTATAGTGGCTTCTTATCGGATTAGGAAACACCCTGGTAGTCGCATGTGGCTTAATAAACTTACATGTGGTTGCCAGGACTGGATCATTTAAAAAAATACAAAACTAAAAACTCCCAGCTTACTCCAGAGCTGCAATCTGGTCCTGAACATCAACAGTTCCCAGTCTCTGGTGAACCTCGTGCAGGATCCTCTGACCTCTGCTGCCCCGTGCCGTCCAGACGCAGCCCACGATGACGCTGTCTGAGCTGACCAGCACAGAGTCCCAGCTGAGAGAGAAGCGGTCACTCACAGCCTGACCACCAGGGGCGCTGTCACTGTGAATGGACAGGGTGAGTTTAGTCCATTAACAAGGATCCATGTATCCCCCAAATACACCCAGAATAAATAAACATGGTGGTTTTTGTGAACACACAAACACAATTTAGATCAGTGGTTCATGACCCCCAGGTTGGGAACCTCAGATATAAGGCACAGATTTGCAGCTTCATTTCCATCCATTTGTATTGCATTAAATCACTCTGCATTGTTTAACATTTTAAATTAAGCAATATAACATTAATAAGAAGTGCTCCATAAATGAGCAAATGTATTTGAAAATGAAATTACATACACAATCAGTAAAAGTGGGTGCTCCTTTGTTTCATCCAAATCTATTGGGACAATTAACTCCAGATGAAGTGCTGCAAAACAGGTCAGAACAGTCAGACAGAATTTCATGATTTTAATACAATGTCATTTTTAATAAATTTACTGCTGCACGTTTATACTCACTTAACATACTTAACATTCAGTCAAGAGAGCATTTTGATGGCGAAGATGAGTTACATTTTATTTGAGTGTGACATGATCTATTTTTATGACTATATCAAAGTTCAACTTATTGTATGGTCAGAGTTGATTGTTTGAACAGTTTTGCTTTTGCTTAAGGTTTAACATAATAATAATAACAGTATGTACAGTATATCATAGTAGAAAGTCAAAGACAACTGGACTTAATCTGTTTCCATGATCACCAAAGAGGCCTTAGGGCTAGGACGTTTTTTTAAAACCAATTTTGGGTGATTCGCACAATGTGATGTTAGAGTCGTTGAAATTATAGGATCGTTGTTAGAGGTGTTAACTGGTGTGAACCCTCAGGGCAAAGACAGACTGTCAGTGCACGAGAAGTGAGCATAACACTTATTAGACCTGAAGATGAAGACCATTAAATGTGTGTTAAAATATCTTTAAGGCTACACTTAAAGTCTAGTTGCCTTTGACTTCTACTTTCTATCAACAGAATGAATGAAAATCCTTCAGCACCCTAAATAAACCTGAAACAACCAAGGTAGTTCACGTAAAAAATAAGCCTGTGATTTCATTTGCATTTAACTTTTGATGACAGGGATCCCATCTGACTGTGTTTTACTCAAAAAGCCTCACATATATATCTCATTGTCTCTAATAGTCAACACATGATAGAGAAAAGAAGCCATATGGTGAGCTGCCCCCTCTAATTAAAACAATATACCGCTATGTCTCTGATTCCGGGGCTGTTTCATAATCACCTCAAAAACTGTGTTTATCCTGAATTTGCATGTCTGACATTCAGATCCTATTGAGTCTGACTCAAATTACCAATACTGTCACCTTGTCTGTACTGAAGTATGATCACGGCTTAAGAGAACGGTTGATGGCACCAAACTTTATGGCAAGAAAATGAACATAGTGTATGTGTGTGTGTGTTGCTTCTTGAGTGTCTTAGATCCTTTCACTGTGAGGGAAATATCCTTTGATTTGTTCACTGATCATACTACACAGCAAATGTGAGAACAGTGATACAGAGACGCTGAATGCTTCCTCTCAATTCTCAATGAGAAAGTATACATGCTGTGCATAATAGGGTAAGACTTGAACTTTCAGTTTGCAAACTGTATCTTTATCCAACTAAACTCTCAGCTCACTGGCTTATCCTCACGAATGCCCATTCTCAGTTCACTTGGCGAGCTGAACTGAACGCTCAGCCATGTTTCAGTTCAGTGAGTGGGACTACAGTCGTGATCACTGAATGATTCAGTGAATGAAGCTCTTGAACAAATCTTTTTAATTAACAATTCTTAGCGATTCAGCACACGGAAAATAACACCCCCTACACTGGCTGTCCTTTTAAATTCGCTGAGAGGGAGGAAGCAAGCAGTATTGAGGGTTGTAGTTACTCTTTAAAGAGCAAGTTAGTGAACAGCAAATCATTATAACCATATTAAAGTTGTGCACATAGTTAAAGACGATTTTCATACCAAAGTTGTTGATTTGTACAGTTCTTCTTTCCCACTTGGGTATTGTCCTGTTCATCAGTGCATGCCTTAATACTATATTACTTTCCAGAGTCTTGTGTTCTGTTGACAGAGATGACAGGGTAAGAAGGAGAATTATATCAATTAGAACAAAACTCATAATTGCAACAAATACAACAAGAACTAGATAAAATCCTGAAGAGCTAATTAATGTCAATGTCCTGCTTGACTATAGACTATTGAAAAATTGTATACAATTATAATTATAAACACATAATAGTCACATTTAAAGTTACTTGAGTCAAGTAACAGAGGGACAGTGCACTTAGAAATTTCACCAAATCAATGTAATGTGATATGATACCAGAGGAATAATCAACATCTCTCAATCTGCGAGTTTGTAGGAACGGAGGAAGATAATCGTTAATCTACTGCATATTCCCCAGAGTGCCTCTGATGTAAATCATTTCAAGCACTTAACATTTAACACCTTAACCTTAATTGCGTCCTCATATTCAGTTTTTACAGCCATAAGTAAACCTCTGTCATGGAATTTTGGTCCTAATAACTCCTGATACATGTCTTAATCCCCAAAACGTAGTTGATCGATTAATGCACTTTCCAGTCACTGAAAGCACACTCACACTCACAAATCCAACTCCTACCCAACATAATGAATAAATATACCTGATGCAACTGAGTGAAAGAGTCTAAATAGTAAATTGGCTCAAGTTTGTCAGTGCCAGAGTACTTACTGTTCATGTCACTTAGTTTGTGAAGAGTAGTTTGGGGTATTCCAGGACCTGGGGAAGAAAATAGTTTTAATATGACAATTTAGTGACAAGGTTGATAAAAAGAATAACCTTAAATATACAGATCTAAAGAAACAGTCCTATATTTAATACAAAGCAGTTTGTTTTTAACCTTGATTTAAGTAATACTTTGATAGTAGCTGTCTGAGAGGTCTGAGAAAAGCTCATTACAGCAGTCAGAACAACGAGCGATAAAGGTAGGGATTATTTTAAAAATATGTTTTTGTGAATGAATTCTCTGATTTATGCACAGACAAGATTTTAATAGGCTGACAAGTGGCTGTAAATTCTCCTGCAATGGTCCAGTTCTGTTTGTCCTCTGAGTGAGTTACATAGAGTAGACTAAACTCTTGTGTAAAAGTTTAATTTGGGAAATCAATAAACATACGCAATTGTCATGCAGCATTTTGTGTTACTGCAGTTTAAATGTGATCATGTCATATAAGGCAACCTTGCTGCGAACCACTCAGTTATGATGTTGCTGTTGTGGTGTCACCTCTGCAGTTGAGAAGAACATGCTGATAGTCTGGGCTGAGGGTCGTGTCGTAGTAGGTGCACTTTGATTTGAAGAGGGAGCAGGTGAGGCATTCTTTATGAAATGGATCCACAGTGGAGACTCTGTTTGAGGAAAACAAGAAAGGTGCAGGAGGACACAGGTTGATTTGAGATACAATCAGTCTGTTTTTGGCCTGCAGGCAGAAGTCAAAGAAAAGAAAAGTATACATAATTAAAATGTAGTAATTAAAATGCTTTAACACTGTTGTTTAACTCATGAAGGGGGTTTATGTGCACCTGTTATGCTTATTTTTAATTTGATGTAATGATAAAAACTAAATGCGACAATGTGCAATAAAAACAAAACGTCCACTGAAGCTCAACTGGAGGGACGAAAATATCAGATGTGTGTGGAGCGATGAGGAGACTGTAACCTTCCTTACATTAATACATGAAACAAACATAAATGCCAGATTTCCATCGTGAGTTCTACATGGGCTTTCACTGTTTGAGATCTGGCTGGTACTGATTTCATTTAGTCAATAATGTCTCTTCTTCTGCAATGGTTTAATGCCACCAACTGTTTATCCTAATATTCACAACAGTAGTGGATGGATTGTATGGATGTAGCCAGTTGTAATGGCCAAAAATACATAAGTAAAACCATTCTGTTCTTTAATACTTTAATTCTTTAATAAGATTTCCCTGAAAAATAAAATAAAATACTACATATTTTATAGTAGAACTTTTTTAGAGTTTGCTGCTGAGGTCCAAAACTGAACTTGCCTGGGGGTTCTTGGGGGCATGCAACAAAGCAGTTATTTTATAACAATTATTTCATGACTTTTATTGTATAAACCTTGGAAAAAATACTGGTGACCTCAATGCTGGGTACAGCAATGCTCGGCATAGGTGGCGGTACTTAATAAGAAGCAAGGGTAATCATGCTGCTCGGAAGTGCCAGGACTCAGCACTGGTGAGTACTGGCCCGTTTCAGGCACTGATGAGAGTGGTATCGATCTAACTAACTCTTGGCGTATAATAAGTGTATTTCCCAAAATGTCCTGGTACTTAGGGAATGATGGTCCTTTTTTTTTAACCTTTATATCGAAGTGAAATACCTGTACAATTGCCGTTGTGTTGATCCTTCCTCTGTACTTAGGAAATAACTGAAAAACAAATAAAATGAACCTGTTATTCAAGAGTTCATGTTGTGTGGCATTGTATCATATATTGCATGGTATGGTGTTAATGTGGTGTCAATAACTCATGCTCACACTGAGTTTGTGCTCTCATCATAGGCCAGAATTTGAGAGACTTCCCAGCTTCCTGAGGTCAGGTGGCGGACGTCGACCTCTTGACCCTCAGACTGAGAAACACGAGAAAGAATACAAGACCACAGAGCAGAGAAAGCATGTTAATGTGACCTCACATGCCCTACATGGTCCTAAAGGGGTACAATAGTTTTGAGGTTTTTTTTACCTAGCTCTGACTTTCAATCTAAAACTTTTGTTCCAGTTATTATCTCTACAGGAACTGAATTAATCTGGCACAGAACCCAGTGCCTCCAGTGCATCTCCTGTACAACACTCTCCTTAATTTATTCAAGTGAATGTATTCCTAATTCTCTGGTGTTTCAGGAAATAGAGTTAGGATATAATTTAAAACGATGAGACTTCAAAATGGAATCATATGAGCAGTATGAATAATTGGAAAGACCTTACTGTAGGCGGGACAGATAAGGGAACAAAAGGAGAAAAGTATACACAGACACTTAATTTAAACAGTGAAAGCACCTAACTAAATGTATTCAGTTTATTAAAAGTTTGTAATAATTTTACTAGGTTGGAGATCTTGGTGATATGGTTGAATCCCCCACGGCCACCGTGTTTTAATGGCATAGTGATGAACAATATTGTGCAATCCTTGGAAAACACTGGCTCCTCATTCTGGGGGAAAACAGAAAAGAGAACGACAAACATTTTTTCACACTGTTGTTAATAGTTGTTGCCATGTAGAACACAACAGGTTATGTGAATTGACTGTATTGGCAGGTTAAATGAAAAATAGATTAATGGCCTTTCTCATGGAAAATATATCTTGGCAAATAATTTACGGTTAAGTTAAAAAAGACAGCAGCCTGTCATTGGTCTGATAGAATTTTTTGTACCAAATGTTTTTAACAAAACTGGCCAAATGGCTTTTATTGATTATACGTCAATGGCAGCAAAAGGCCAAACAGTCCTATATTAGAGACAGGCCTTTAATTCCAATATCTCTTGTTTTACAGGTAAAATATATCATGTTTTAACAAGAAGCCGCCCTGTTTCCTGATCTGGTCAACATTTAAATTGCTGTACTGTTTAAGCAAACTCAAAACTTTATCCATGTTTACTTTTAATTCAGTAACTCAGTCAGTACACCAGTCATATCATACTCACCAATGTACTGTTCTGAGCTTCTCCCCAGAAAAATTAAACAAAACTTTTCTATTCCCTAATTATTTCCAATCACTTTTTCAATTGCTGGTAGGATACCATCAATGAAATGCTTGAGGTTTCACATTAAAACAGCTCTAAGTGTATAATTTGTCTTTTTCCAGTGTGAATTTCAATCAAAACACCTGCACCCGAGTGTTGAGTTTCACTGGCAGTAGCAAAAACGTTTCAATAAATGTCAAAAAAGTATAGGAGTATAAGATAGTTAATGAATAAGTATTTCAGTATTTCTTTAAAAAAGTAACTCAGAGCAGAAGATGACATGGCTATGTTGGTGTACTGATTGAATTAGGGCTGTGGAAATATACCTGACACTAAATTTAACATGTGAACCACTGGAGTACAAACAGTAGCATTCCCCCTTTTTCCCTTCCCTTTATTAGTAATTAGCCTACCTGTGTTCATGTGGCCATATTATATACTATATTGTATTACCATCACCAGCTTTAATATGAAAATCAATAGTGTAATTTATTCCTTATGTGCTTATCAAAAATAATGAAGCTCTTCTCGACTGACGCACTTACCTGACGATCAAGCCACTTCTCCGATGTCATCATGTGTTTCTAAATTGAAAAGATCAAGTCAGTAAAACAATAAAAAAGCACTAGAGTAAATTCATTGTAGAATGATTAACAATAACCTTCTTACCTTTGTGCAGTCACTTGTTAGGACATCACACAATGAAAGAATTGACATGTTTTGAGCTCGATTAACCCAACGCACACTCAGCCTCTCCTGTGTCACCCACTTCACCATGGTGACGTAGTACTCACTGGGTAACAAATATGGGAAGCAGTAAACAAATACCCAACATAAACAGCCTGGGTCAGTAAGATGCTAATATCGCTTAAAATGTGCTTGAATAATACCTCTTTTCAAAACTGTCGGGAGGTCTCAGTTCTGTTGTGAGCGAGCTGCCGTCTACAGTGACGACATAGAGTCTGACGGTGGGATTTATCTGACCCATCTAGAGTAAAAACAGAATGTACAATTTCATTCACAGGCCTAATCAAATTAGATGCAATTCACGAAGCACTGCACGCACTGAACAACACGCTGCTCTAGTTTTCTATTTTTATGTGCCGTTGTACTGAACAATTCCAGTAAGACTTAGTATGAGAACATAATGAGAGGATGAAAAAAACAGAGAACAACACTGTGTTGTACACTGTGCAGGCCCTGGGGCAGAGTCAGTCGTTTTTCTTGAAACCTCCCTCAAAAACAGAACTCATTAGTCTACATGACAAGGGACATCTCAAAAATACAGCATAACCTATCACTAAGATGACAGTATCTATTCCACACTTATGCCTGCTTATTTTTATGTCTTTATTTCTATGTCTTCTCCAATTCTTCACATTCGGCTCTTCTGGAGGTATAATAGCTTCTTGGATTATTCTGTTCTGTTATGTCATTTGTGGCATATAAAATGAAAAGTAACACAACTGAAACTTACTAATAATAATGCTAAAGAGGGAATAAGTCAGTAATATTTTTTTCCTGCTTTCTAATACAGTGACACTAATATTATCATGGAGGACATGTAACCATTACGTAGATGAGCTTTAACATTGTGTTTGCAGACCATAGATTATAATTCATGTTCAATAATCTAGTAACAAAACGTTAAAATTATTTGCATCATTTTAGTGCTAATTAGCAGATCTAAGCTTACTAATAGACTAATCTAAGATGGTGAACATGGTAAACATTACCTTTTCAAACAAAAGCATGTTGCATGTGCATTTTGCTCAAAAGCTAGTTTAGTCGTATTATTCTTATATTATATAATATCTATATTGGTATTAGCCTCAAAAATCCAGTAGAGGCCTAGCTGTAATATGGCACAGTTTGTCACGCTGACGGTAATTAGGTATTTCCTTTAATGCAGACACATGATACCTATGAAGAATACCCTCTAGGGTAGTACTGTTACTGCGTATTGACTCATGAGAGGATAACCACACAAATTTATCCTCCAGTGGCTGAAGCAGATGTATGACTGTCAGAATGGTGTACAGCATCAGTGTTAGAGGAAGGAGATGGTAATTAAATCTCTGCTTCATTTAGTCCCACGTTATTATAACACTGACCCCAAGAGGATATTAGCAACAGAATTACTGTGTGTGTGTATACAGTTTTTACACACTTTGTGGGCAAAGCTAAGATCAAGTGCAGTGCTTCATTAATTAGATGCTGTCCTATGAATGCCCTCCCCCCAATCTAAGCCGGCAAATCAGGCTGCCCTCTATCTTATGACCCCCATTCCACCACTTCTCCACAGCTCATCTCCCATCTTAGAGGCATTTGATACACTAAACATCCGCATCAAAGGACGGGAGGTGTGTTAACTTTCCTTACTAAAGCATATCACATTCCTATCCTTCCCAGTGCCATAGATCCCTACAGCCATCCCTCTTCAAAGAAGCAAGTCACTGTAACATGAATTAAACAAGAAAGGGATTCACTAACCTTCATGGATACACTAAAGCAGAAAGCCTGCAGTTGTATTATTCATAAAGCTGGTTTGATACAACGAAACTGCCATCTAGTAGAGTCAGGTTGTAAGGGTTGTTGTACAGTATGAGGTAAGCTAAAGGATGTCAGGAGCAGTCAGACTTCAACTGGATCTAATATTTCTAGTGCTGCTCTGATCAGAGAAGACTGGAGCTGACCAGAAGGTTTTGGATGCTGATGTTGGATTCAGTTTTGGTTGTAAACAATAGTTGCAGCTCAGATTTAGTGTGTTATTTTTGACTTAATGTTTGTACCTGCCATCTGTTTTCTTAAAGGGCATTTTAAAAGAACATCAACATGCCAATATCCTACTCTAATTCAGAGTTTATTTAAAATTCTGGAAATAAAGGCACTGGACTTAGTACTCTGAGTTCGACCTTTGGATAAGGGTACTCCTTCCCCCTGGGATACAACGAGCCTGTAAAGCGGGGCAGGAGCATGTTAGGAACCAGGGAGTCGTTGATGGTGAGGTAGGCCAGTCTGGAGCCGTCAGGTGACCACCAGTGGGCCGCCTGTGTGTGCAGCACCTCCTCTGGTAAACCAAGAGAAAACAAAATCAGCCAGTCTGAGCCAGGAAATGCACAGAACCTCTGCTTCTTCTATTCTTCTATTTCAATCCATTTCCTGTTTATGCTCCTCTTTTTAAATCTCAGTTTATTCAATTTATGTTGTTTTTTTTGTGGTGAATATAAATTATTAGTGAAAATGTGATAGAAGATTTATTGAAAATGATATGCAGTCAATATGTCTTATTCCCGTCTCAACATCTTCTCACTCCCAACTTGTCAAATACTGTTGCTTGGTCTACGCCCATCTTACTTAATTTCCGTCGATGTATGAACAGACTTTCAAAATAAATCTTGAGCGGTTAACGTTGTGAAACAGACACAGTTTGGTTAGTTTTAGTTTAAAACTACTTGGTTAGGATTAGGAAAAGATCATAAATTAAGTTACGTACCTGACCTGGGTCAGGTACTTCCCTCCTGGGTTAAAGTTTGAGTCATCCATCCACCCAACCAACCACCACTATATGTTGACTTTCTCGCACCGGAGGGATACCTAGAGGGTCATATTTTAAAGCGGAGGGCCACTGACCAAGCAGCGGTATTTGACGATTTGGGACTGAGACCGTGTTGTCAGAGACTTATTTAATTATTTTATGCCACAATCCACACGAAGTCTCGAATAACTACATTTAGAAAATCCTTACACACAAGAGAAAAGACTGCTTTCTTCAGAGGGAAGAATGCCAGATTCTGTAGGTAGCATTTCAATCTGTTCTTCAACCATCTGTCCTCTATTGTGCCAGGTTTAAACACACAGTATCTTCTCTCTTACCCTCATACAGCCAGTCTGTGATGCCGTTGAATATGATCCCCTCCTGACCAGAAGAGGTGAGCCTCCACGAGCTGCTCTGAACATCCGTTTGGTAGTAAATGTTGTTTTCAAATATGTAGATCTGTGAGATAAAGAGAAAATTAATTAAAAAAAATTAATTAAAATTATTCGTTAAAAATTAAAAGCTAATTTGTTCATGCTCAAATGCCTGAAACTTTTCATGGTTTCCGCTTCTCAAATGTGACAATTCGCTGAATTTTCTTGTCTTAAATTCCAGTAAAATAAATAATTTTGAAGTTTGGGGTGTTGGTTGCACAAAAGACTTTGATTGTGTTACTAATTATGACAAACTCTCACTATTTTGAACATTTTTACAAACCAAACAATCAATCAGTCAATTAATTGAGAAAATAATTTGCAGATTAATCATGATAAAAATAATCAGTGGTATCGGTACACTTACTAAAGTAAGTACAAATTACCAAACACACCCACACATTTATTAACTGTAAGGAAAAATGTGCAGAGGGAACATGCTGAAGAGATAGAAAGATAATATAAATCAATTTGATTTATTTAGTCTAGAATGCATTTAAATATGTTATACAGGGTCGCTGAGGCAGAAGCTTAGAGAGCCGTCCTCTGATCGCAGGGCTAAAGGTCTGATCCCCAGCCCCTCCTGTACACATGTCAGTGTCCTTAGGCAACCGAACCACACATTTCCCTCAGTGGTCAGGCCAGCACCTTGTGTGGGTGTGTGAGCGTGTGTGAACGAGAGGAAAATGGTGAAGCGTTTCGGATAAAAGCGCTGTATAAATGCAGCCCATAGATATAGACTTGTTGAATTTTTGCATTCCCGCCACCTTTCATGCATTAGTCTTGAAGTTGAAGCACCCAAGTACTGCGGCGATAGAACATCTGCTGAACAAATTGAGAACCTTCAGTACCTGAACTGATCTCACACAGACCATACTCATTGATAAAAAAAATATTTAGCTATTGTTCTCATCTCTTGTGGCAACACAGATAAATATGCAGGAAGAGCTTATGAGTAATGAAAACGACTCTGTCATTAGCGGTGTGACACACTGCTGCAGGGCTTCCTGGTGAACGGTTTCCATCGAGGGCAGGTACGAATACTGAGGAAACGAGATAAATATGCTATCACATGGTTAATTACTTTCCTTGTCTGTACTGGAGAAAATAATGGACTGATTATTCTGTGCACAATACTCTGCACGATGGAGGCATTACTCACACAGAGAGCTTTGGCCACCCAACAAGATGTCTTCCAGCAACAGCTTGATTAGTGTAACTGTTGCTGGCTTCTCTTCAAAATAATTGTTTAGTTTAAAAGGGGTTTGTCTTTCCTCTCAAGTCAAAAACAGCCTTTGATCAGCCTTTACCTCAGAGAATAGAATAGGTTCTATGAATACAATGAATTATACATAAAGCAATGTTACATAAGACATTAAATTAAACATGGGTTTTCCCCTTTCTGCATGCAGCAAGGTGTCTTCAGTTTAAATGAGATAAAATGAATTCAAATGCAGCTGGTTAGAGCTGCAGCTACAACTCCCTTTGACTAATCTGCTGATTATTTTCTCAATTAATTGTTTAAATTATAAAATAGCAAATAATAATGGTAAATAAAGATTAAAATGCCTGAGAACCAAATGACATATTTGAATTGCTTGTTGGTCTTTCAGTGCAAGATTCAGTTATAGTGATATAAAAAGAGAAATTAGCTATATTTGCTTACTTGTACTTCAGATTTGATTTTGTAGGTATGAGCCGCTTCACATACACATCTATATTTTGGATTTGAACTTGTTTACTCTGCTGCACAACAATTTCCCTCTGGATACATAACGTTCAATCTTATCTTACTTTTGTTTGAGAAATTAAATAAACATTTTAGGGAGGTTTTCATATAGTTCTCTGTCAGTATTATGTATTTTTTGTTTTTAATAATCATACATACTTAATAGTCAGTGTTTTTTCCTCCCTGACATTTGGCCATTGATCTAAAACTGCAAACTTTTCTCAAACTTTTCTTTTCTGCACCCCTTAAAATCAAGGAGGCCTCACAAGCTACCATGAAGCTTTGGCGACCCCCATGTTGGGAATCACTGAACTGATTGATGACTCAACTAATCAGTTAAGTTCTACAGTTTTGCCTTGAAATGTATGATTTATGACCTTGAAGCAATGTATATTGTATAATGGAAAAACAGCTACGTCTTTACATTTTGTATTAGAAGAATTTTTTTCCTGCGTAATTTGTGCATTTTCACACGTTGACTATTGACTATTTATGCATGCTTATTGACACCATGACTTCTCACATGAATATAAAATGATACATACTGTGCATATATTATGTTTTTGGATGTATTATGTTTTGTGTTGTGGAAAAACTGTAATATTTGTTGAGACAAGGAGAATTATGGGTCATAATGAATCGTGCTTACATCTGTTGAGGACGACACATACTGCAATTTGGATCTCCTTGGTGGAATCGCCCACTATAGTACATAAATAATGAATATAATTGAACTTGTGTTGTTGTTGACTTGTTGGTTAATTAAGGTAAACATAATCCAACATAAATTACCCACTAATGTGTTCTTAAGAGAATAATGGAAGATAAATCCCAGTGCATTATTTGGCCCATGTAAACAACTCACCAGCTGCTGACCACGAACGCCCCACGAGGCAAACTGGAGGACTGAATCTGACACCTCTGGAGGATTCAGCTCCCGAACCTCTCTGGTGTGAGGACAAATAAAAACGTGTTACACATGAATCATCACACACAGGACCAGGAAGCACTTACATCTGTTTTTAGATCTCAGAACAGACACAATCACTGCACATTTACAACCAGTTCAAATCAGTTTGAGGTGAATAATGTGCATTATCATTAAGTGAATTAGCTACAAACCTGATGTGGAACTGAAAACTGAATTTTACACAACTTTATCTGAGGGCTTAATTTGTTTAATTCTCTCATAAAAAGGAATTGGACATTTTGTCCTTGATTTAGGTTTAACAAAGAGAAGATCTATGACCATAAAATGTAAAATAAGTCATTTAATTACGGTCTATGTTGATTAGGTTTAATTACACACCTTGTATACAGGTTGTAGATCAGGTACGATGCTAAGAAAGAGTGCTGGTAGACCTAAAAAACAATCAAAAGAAAAACAATTTCATGTTGTGATAGGCATTGTTCTTTCTAGCAATTAAGGATAGTTAAACAAACAAGAAAAAGGGAAAATAATTCAGATAATCCTGATTAATACAGTCGATTAATCAAAAGATTAATCATCAGAACTGATATTATCAACACAATATTAGTCACAATAACAACGCAAAGCATTCTGAGAACATTTTGTGATCATGTTTTGTGATGTTATTGGTGTAGTTTCTTCAACAAGCTTTACTGTACTGTACTATCTACTGATTTTCCCATTTTGTTTCTATGTTACTAACTTACTGAATGCATAGGGACAAAACTGATATTGTGAAAGAGCAAAGAAGCATGACAAGTTTAATTTCTGTAAGCACATACCACATTTAAAGGTTGTTTCATAAAATACATCGACTCCAAGACAATACAGTACAAACATACTATGAATTATAAGGAGGCCAAGTAGTGCCTGAAGCAAGTTAACTGAATGGTTCACATCAAAGTGGATAAATGAATAATTTACCACTACTTACTTGCTGTTGCAAATTGTGTGCATTTCAGTATGACATGTTAATGTAAATTTCATTCTGCAGTGCCACATGTTTGCACAACTCACCAGTTTTGACCTTCCACTAATTTTACCTGCATGTGCAATGGAATGACCAGAGAATATCCACAAATCCTTTTTTTTAAGATTGATTGAGATAATGGTTCAATACCTGAGCGTCTCCACATGCTAATCAGCTGGGTCATTAGCATAACAATGTAACAGTGAGCCCACCCCAGAGTGATATGATAAATACTGTGGAGCCGCTCTGTTCCCCTCAGCAAAAGATCAATTGTGCACAAAATGGAGTCTGCTAGGCGGATCTACCGGCCACCCAGCCTTCACTCCTAATTTGGACTTCTCTTTTCACTGTATCTCCAGGAAGGAAAAATGGAATTGTATTGTAACTTGACTGCTCTTCTTCTCCTTCAAAAAAGACATCAACATCATTCAGCAGACACTCCTCATTCTGTAGCTGACAGCTCTGTGATGACTCCCTGAAAAGGCTGTCAGTGATGGGTGACACATGAGAGGGGTGGATGTTTGGAGATGTGAAGGGAGTAACAGACTGTTTCAGACAGTGGCGGTGTGTTTGATTGTGGTGTGTGGTGGTGTTCTCGGCAGACTGGGGTTACATGGCACTTGTAAATAATTCCTATCATTTGTCTTATACAAATGAGAATATCACATAGGTGGTGTTTGCAGCAGAGTAACGACTGCAGCATAAAAGCATTTAAATTTCAATACAACAACCTGACACTTAATTGGTGCTTTTCTCACATCTGAGTGTAGTAGTCATTTACTGTTAGAACAAATGCTGAGATTCAAACACAAGCTTGGAGGCGTTGAAAGGTTCAGAGGGTGAACATGAACAAAACATTCAAATATATGGCTGGGAAAAGAACAAGGTGCATGAATATACGTTCTAAATGACAATTTGTACGGACCACAGAGGGCCGCAGTGACATTTGGAAGGTCGGTAAATGCAGTTAAAGCTGTAACTTATTTGAATTTTACAACTTGTAGTAAAAAACTTCAGTATTTAATCTCTAACGATCTATCTGAATTCAATCGGTAAGGTAGCTCGCAGAGTCTCAGAGAGGAGCCGACGCACACACTTCCCACATCTCCCACAGTTCAGTTGTAAATTTCAGCATAATACTGCCACCAGTGATCCTCTAGCACAGCATTAACACTGTTGCCCATCTTGTCGTTGTGCCGCCCGATTATGCTACTAAATCGCATTTTTTCACATTTGTTTTACAGATGTAGTGGATTTATTTAAACAGTCGCTGTGGTTGAACTGATTGTCACAATGACACCCACATATACGTTCACTCACATGTAGCCCAGAAAAGCATAATTCCAGCCTGAGGGATGCAGTATGTTGGAAATGAACTAGTTTGTACAATGTGTTTATACCTGTTCCTCTGACTTTATCACACTCCCACCTCAGTCTCTCTCCAAGAGATCTGTGTCATTCGCTTGTCTTTGTATTCTTGGAGCAATTAATTATACATATGGGCATGAAGCAGTTTCACAGTCTCTCCTCAAAGGCATTTATGGTGCTTTGCGCTTCAAATCCTGTCTTCTTTCTTATTAAACATGCAACCAACTGCGTGAAGGGGCTGTGAATGTCAAATTGTCGGCTTTGGAACGTTACAGAAACACAAACCCAAATTCCAGCGTTGCAGAGGTGTTGGGGGACATTGTTTGATGATCTGACTAGCTTATCCTTTAAAGCATGCGGATACCTTAAGCACAGGTTTTATCAAAATTAATGATGGATGACTGCACTCAACTTTAGATTTTCCATGTCTAAGAAGACTATGCTATTATGTCACTGGCTCACCAAAATAAGTTATTTTGGAGCTTAATAACTTAATATTATTCGTTCCACTTCTGGCTATATATGTAAAGTTAAAATGCCCGCTGTGAAATCGGGCCTATTGCAAGTTCTGTCCACACCATCTGATAATTATCTGGGGAAACATTTTGGATTCAATACCATGGAAAAATTTAGGATAAAGTTGAAGCTGTTTGCTGCCTTTAAATTTTTGATATGTCAGAACTTGTTTGGAAAATTTGGAAAGTGTTTTCATCTCTCATTTAGTGCATTAACTCTTTTTGAAAAAAAGGCAAAAACCACCTCAAGCATGTGGAAAACAGTTTTCGCCAAATGGAGAAAGTTATTTTGAATTTTTTCGTTTCCATCAACCTTTTCTAATACTCTGCTTAAAAATGTGCATAAAAATACACTGATTGAAACAGCTATTGAAGTAGCAGAGGCCCTATGAATAAAGGCCTAATTCTAATCTTCAATGGAGTTCAGAATTAGGTAACATGGGTTGCATTTGAATTCCCTTTGAACAAACTACATTGATTCTGGTAGGTTTGACAAGAAGATAATAAGCACACAATGTCTTTACTGTCATATTAGGTACCTAAGAATATTCATTCAAAAAATTATTTAACAGATTCTCCAGTGATAACAAAAAACTAAAAGGACGACTTCTAAAACTTTAAAATAAGTTTCACGCTTATTGCAATATTTGTCAACACTAGTCAGAGGAGCTTGTAGGATTTTATTTAATGCTTTTATCACAGAGTGCTTTACAGACTAATAAATGACAGAAATACTGGGACATTTTTAATTGATGATTTTAAAGTAAGAAGTCTGGCAATGAAGAATTTGGCTCATTAAATCAGTTTAGTTTAATTCAGTTTAGTTCAGTTTAATCTGGGAGATCAACTCTCCTGAATGCTTTTGCAGCTGATGATCAGGTTAATTTACTTACTTTACTTCATTAACATGCATTTCCAAATTAATAAAAAATTGACACTGTGTGACAGCTGCAATAATCAACACCTCTATAATTTGGTATCCGTGCAAGTCCTGAAAAATGCACTTTATAATCTGCACAGAAGGCTGCTGACTATAAAAAAAAAACCTTGAATAAGATCTATGGAAACCTTTGACGCAGCAGTATAGTCCAGCCAAGAGGTAGCATGATTATGATAAATTCATAAGACAACTGGAGACAGTGGTGCAGCAGCAGGCCATTACTCTCCATAGATTTAGGCTGTCACTTTGATGATGAACACATCTGCTCCGTCCATCTCAGGAGGAGATAGCACCTCTAAAACTCTGCTGTCTCAATCCCATCAAGCACATAGAGCTCATTATCAAGCCTGCTCAGTTCACCCACACTGCAATGTTCCTGCGGCCATCGAATAATAGAATGGAACAGCAAAGAAACATGTAGTGTGATTTGCAACAAGCAGTTTTACTGATGTTGGACACAGGGACAACGGGTGTTCAGTGTGATAAATGAAAAGTGTTGCATTTCCTGTTGTAACGACTTGCATGAAACATAAAAGTCTTGTTTCTTCAGCACAACAAAGTCACAGCTGCCAGTCTCTAACAGAATCCAAAGGGAACTGTGAAAGAAAGGGGTCGTGTAGTGCAGGTACACTATGGGATCAATACTGAACTCTATTTTAATCCAAGATGACAGTACTTATATAGCGCCTTTCTACCTGCTGGGGTGGGCAATTTACTTTTTACACAACCCTGTCTCCTACAAGTTACCATTGTATGTTACTAAATTGTTCTCAAAATGACGTGGTGGTGACAATGTAATACGTGCCTGGATTGAAACACTACATTTATGTATAATGTAGTGGAGTTATGAGGAGGTGGTTGAGGTGGATGGTGGGCACCCACAGTCCAAGGTTTGCATCCAGACTAATGCAAGGATGAAAGTTTGTGATTTTGGTTAAGTTTAGGTAACAAAAGCACTTTGTTTAAGGTTAGGGAAAAATCATTATCATTGGTAAAATGTTAATAAAAATCTTAAGTCACTGCTTACTTTTGAATAATGTTGTAGTCACTACGACTAGTAGTGTATTGAATGGTTGCCTTTTTTGTAGAAAACAAATGAAATACAGTGAACTTTTTGCAACTTGCCAGGTACGTTAATTAACAACATTTCCTCATTATTTTAATAGAAAATGTAATTTGGTTGGCATTATTTCCCTTAAAATGTGTTTGCTTTTGCAAATTAGTTGCATACAAACGTAATTTCTAAGAGACAGGTCAGTACTAAAATGTGAACATCTTACAGCCACTGACAGATAAATGTTCAATTTCACCAGCAAACAGTAATTTTTACTTTATTTTACCAGCCTTTAGCTGGTGCTAATTTCCCACACTGCTTTCTACCTTAACGGACAAAGCACTTTATAATTGGCCTCTCATTCATTCACACCCACTCACTCTTTTTCTTTTATTCATTGTATTATGCACTTGTTTTTTTTTACCAGCACAGCTGTATGCAGTCAGATGGAAATGAGGGAAATTCATCAGGATGAATTAAGGATTACTTATGAGTTGTATCCAGAATGATGAAAATCAACATGGACATTTTCCATCTTAATATTG